GGGCAGCCTCTGGACTGCAGCCTCCTTCCCAGTCGTGCCTCAGTCTCTCTTGGTCTCACTTCCAGCTGCCTCCCCCACCCCCAGCCTCTGCGCCCTGTGGCCTTTCCCATCTCCCCCTGCCCCTGGGCTAAGGTCTAAGGCAAGTCCTCCCTTGCCCCTCAGGTTGTCCAGACTGTTCCCTTGACCACTCCCTAGGTAATGGTGTCAGTCCCCTGAGGTGTGTCCTGTCCCCTGTGTCCCCCACTGCGGACAGTGACACCTGAGGGGACACTTCCGTCTCCTGACCTGTTACCCAGGTGAGGCCATTCCCTTAGGAAAGGAGGTGAGAACTCAAAGGAGTCATAACACATTGCTGACAGGCACTGCCTGGGGCAGTGGTCAAGGTCAACATCAACAGTGACACGTGGTTCTCTTCCCAGCACAAGTGTCAGGTACCCAGGAAGAGGCTCCTGAAGACGTGTCCCATAGACTGTTTTCATCTCAGAGTGTCTTGGTCTAGTTCTGGAATGTGGGATATTGTAGGGGTGCAGGGGGGGTGTCCCGATCAGCATCTTCTCCATGATCTTGGGAATTTACAGTTGAAACAAACCTTCTGGTGGTGGTGTGGGGGCTCCTGGCCAACTTGTCTTCATTTAGAACTGAGGCCTCTAAGGTCTATGAGGTGTGGCCTTGGAAGTTGTCCAAATTTTCCCCGTCTGCACAGGCTGCTAGCACTTTCTAAGTCAGGAGGGCCAAGCCCCTTCCTCAGGGTTGAGGTCGCCTGATGGCCGCCTGGAGGAGAGGCCAGAAAGCTGTGGAGCCTCCTTTACACCCCCTGGGAACATCGCTTTAAGGATCCCCTGCAAGACCTGCCTTCCTTCCAGATACTGAGGACCAGAGGCACAGCTGGCCTGGGTCCTCAGGTCCAAAGGCAGGGGCTGACCTGCGGAGGCGGGGGGGAGTTCCTTGGGGAGCACGTGGAACAGGCCTAGGTGTTCTTTGAGGCAAAAAATGTCAAACCGACCCCGTGCCACCTGTTTGCCGTGGTTGAGCCCATGCCCCATCATGACCTTGGTGGACTTGACCCAGGAGGACTTGCCAAAGTTTCTCTTGACCGTGGACTCAGTTGGGCCAGGGGCCTCCTCCCTGCCTGTCAGCTTCTCCGTGTTCTGTGAGTTCAGGGATAAGAACATGTATCTACGATTATCATATCACCCAGGGCATTTTCACTCCCCCCAAATCCTGCGTTCTCCATGTTCATGAGTCCTCCCTCAGCCCCGGGAAAGCGCTGATGTTTGTACCATTTCCACAACTTTTCCTTTCCCAGAATGTCATGTAGTTGGAATCCTACCCTTCAGACTGTCTTCTCATGGAGAAATATGCATTTAAGTTCCGTGTATGTCTTTAATTTTTTTTTAATGTTTATTTATTTTGAAAAGAGAGAGAGAGAGAGCCAAAAGGGCATGAGTGGGGGAGGGACAGAGAGAGAGGGAGACACAGAATATTAACCGGGCTCCAGGCTCTGAGCTGTCAGCACACAGCCCAGTGCGGGGCTTGAATCCATGAACTGTTAAGATCATGACCTGAGCTGAATCTGAACAACCCATTTATTTATATCTCAAAGGGAATGGAGCTATGTAAAGAAAAAGGCTCTACACAAATACTCTTTTGAGAGCAAATGCTCTTGGTGGTTCATAACTGAGAGATGGAAAATTATCATAGATACTTAAAATGAAGCTAGAGCTTATTAAATGTATATAATTAATAAATAGGACTTGCAAAACCTTACCGTTGGGCATGTTGTCTTATAGATCTTTATACTATAAAAGGGAAGAAGGGGGCATACTTTCTAAATATCAGTTAAATCTTTAGATAATATATAGTAACATCTGATTCACCTATGTGAAGAATACTATAATAAACCTTTCGGAAATCTTGTTAAGTTAAAAAAAAAAAAAAAAAAATCACGACCTGAGCTGAAGTCAGATGGTTAATTGACTGAGCCTCCAGGTGTCTCTTCCTTCATCTTTTTGGGGCTGATCGCTCATTTCATTTTAGTGCTGAGTGATTTTCCCTTCTCTGGATTTACCAGTTTACTTATTTATTCATCGAGTGCAGGACCACTTGGTGCTTCCAGGTCTTGGAAATTATGAAGGAAGTTGCTAGAAACATATAGATTTAGGTTTTACTGTGAACAAGGTTTTCAACTCCTTTGGGCAATTACCCAGGAGTGAGGTTGCTGGATTGTATGGTAGGAACACGGTGAGGTTTGTAAGAAACCACCAGGCCGTGGTCCAAAGTGGTGGCACCATGTTGTGTCACCCGCAGCAGGAGTGACAGCTTCTGGGGCGGCGCCTCCTCGCCAGCACTGGGGGAGGCGGTGCTCACACTGTGGTCATCCTAACAGGTGCAGGGGTGTCTAATTGCCTCCGTTTGCCTTTCCCTGATGACATATGATGTGGGGCTTCTATCCTGTGCTTCTTTCCCACCTGTGTATCCTCTTTGGCGAGGTGTCTGTTGGTGCCTTGGGCCTCTTTCTTGATTGTGTTGTTTGTTTTCTTAGTGAGTTTCCGGAGTTTTTATACATGTCGGCTAACACTTTTTTTTAATCAGATATGCCTTTTGAGGATTTTTCCCCCAGTCTGTGGTGTGTCTTTGCCTTCCTGTGATTGTCCTTGCAGAGCAGAAGTGTTTCATTTCACTGAATTCCTGCTTATCTCTTCTTTCGTTCATGAATTCAGCCTTTCGTGTCTTTCTGAAACATATTTGTGAGTCCCAAGAACATCTAGATTTCTCCTATGTTGTCCTGTAGGAGTTTCCCAATTCTTCATTTATGTGGAGGTCAGTGATCCATGGATTTATTTTCTGTGAAGGGTGTGAGCTCTGTGTCTTGGTTCTTTTTTGTTTCCTGCAGGTGAATGTCTGGTTGTTCCAGCATCATTTGTTGAAGAGACTGTCTTTTGTCCATGGTACTGCCTTTGCTTCCTTGTCAAAGAGCAGTTCCCCATCTAATGGATCTATTTCTGGGCTCTCTCTTCTGTTGCATAATCTATTTGGCTCTTCTCTCCCCAGATCTGTACTGTCTTGATGATTGTAACTTAATAGGAATTCTTGTAGGAGGGGATGTGAGCCGTCAACCTTCACTCTTCTGCAACATGATGTGGGCTCCTCTGCGTCATTTTCTCTCCATGCAAACTGAAGAACCACGTGATCAATATCTCCAACATAACCTGCTGGGATGTAGTTTGTGTTTGACCTAATGTGTTGATCAAGTTGGGAAGAATGGATATGTAGACAATAAAGAACCTTGTTATCCATGAGTATGGTCCTTCTCTACATGTATTTAGAGTTCTCTGATTTTGTTTATAACAGTCTTATAGATTTCCTCATAAAGATCTTTGAATATTTTGTGACATTTAGGCCTAAGTAGTTCACTTTTGAGTTGTCAGTGTCAACGGTACTGTGTTTTCAGTTTCAAATCCATTTCTTCATTGCTGGTGTGAAAGTGAGCAATTGAGTGTCATGTAGGAATCTTGTGTTTCCTGCAGTCATGCAATCATCCCTCATCAGATGAAGAGTACTTCTGCTTCTTGTTGTGTCGATTCTCTTGGATTTTGTACTTAGAAAACCATGTCACATGTGTACAAGTTGGTTTTATTTCATCCTCCACAGTCAGTATACCTCTTATTGAATTTTCTTAAGGTGGAGGAGAAGCAAGCCCCACCCTGAGCTGGAGGCGGTGGCCCATGTGTGACACAGGAAGTACACGGGGGAGGCTGTGGTTAGCAAGGGACTCTGTTTACCTCAAAGCCTGCAGAGCTGCAACCTAACCCTTGTTTCTTCTGCTTGGGAGTATGAGAAAGGAGACAGGCTGGCCTGCGGCAGGCTGGCCTCCCTCCCTCTCAGTGACTTGGGTTTGGAACAATCTGTGGCTTAAGAGCCTGAGATGTGGGCCTGGCCCTGCCACATCCCGGCTTCCAGACTGTGGGCTCATCAAATACTGTAAATGGGCCCTGACTTTCCTCATCTGTGAAAGAGCCTCTCACAGGGACCGTGCCTGTGAACCATAGAAAAGTAGACACACTGTGGACAGTGACATTAGCTCCTTTGCTGCCCCAGACAGCGGAAGGTGACAGAGATCTGTATCTGGAGGTTGAATAAGTCCCTGTTGCAGTGCCTGCATAGATGTGTGGTGGCTGCCCCTCCCTGCAGCTGCTGGGGGCTCCGTCCAGGGCCCTGGGCCCCGCCCCCATGCGCTGGATTTCCAAGTAAACACTCCTCCCCGGAGAGTGCTCCCCAGGGGTGTAGGGACGGGGACAGGGGCGTGGCCGACCTGCTCCCCATCAGGCTGGAGTGACCAGTGGTGAGCTGCCCAGATGTGGACTCGATCCTGGAGTTTCTCCCATGAGGCTCAGGGACTGATGGTCTGAAGGACCATCCCCGTTACGGGCCGGGGGCCGGGGAAGAAGGCAGTGTTGATTTTCTCCTGTCTGAGGTGCGCAGAGCAGGTCGGGGGAGCCTGGAGAGGATGCGGGGACTCGCTGGAGGCCACGCTGTTGAAGTACAGAGAAAAGCAGAAGGGAAATTTGACTTGTTAAATGGTGTAAAGAGAGAGGACAGGCCCAGAGCAGGGGAGGCCCTGTGTATGGTGGTTAGTGTGACTCTGCGTCTGGCCATCGGCTGTCCCTGGGGAGCAGGGCTGCAGGGCTGTGTGTGAACCGAGGACCCAGGTTGGGGTCCCACTGGGTGCTGGCTGGGGAGCTGAGACCACCAGGCCTGTGGTGCCCACAGGAAGGGGCCCTTCCCACCCAACGGTTCATCGAGGGGGTGTTCACACGTTCATCTGCCATCATCTCCTGAGTCCCAGTGCAGTGGGAGGTCAGAAGAATCATCTGATTGGCTTTCTCAGAGCAGCCAGCTTGTTCTAGACCGTTAGCCCCGCCCCTGGAGTGGGAAGAGTAAGAGCAGTTCTGAGTAAAGCTTTTCTCCCCTCTTACGTCTGCTTTCTGGATGTTTCCTTTGCAGCTGAGTAGGCCCAGAGCACGGCTGGAGGGAGGAAGCCTGTGATGGGAACCCGCCCAGAGGCCCCCCGCCTGTGCCGGGCCCCCTGGCTCCTGGGATTCACCTGCCTCCTCCTCAGTGAGTGGCCCGGGTCCCTGGGGGGGGAGGGGCCTGCCCTGTGCGGGGCAGGGAGGGGGGCTCCCGCGGGTCTGATGTCTGTGGGGAGGACCTGACACCACCTCTGTTGGAGGGCACGTGTGGGGCCTCTGGTTTCCAGCTCAGGGCAGAAGGGAAAGAGGACAATGAGCGTTTGGCTGTGGTGAAGCCTCACTTGGGTCCCAGGAGCCCTCACAGGGTCACACGTGATGGTCACAGCGTCTGGGCTCCTGGATTGGATTCCTGGGGCTGTGGAACAAGATCCTACAGACCCGGCAGCTGAAACCACATCAAGTTGTTGTCTCACAGTCCTGGAGGCTGAGGGTCCAAAATCAAGTTTCTGGCCAGTGTCTGATGGGAGGGATGCAGAGCGGTGCCGAAGGGACCCGGGGCATTCGTGTCCTGACTTGCTTAGAGGGACCTGGGGGCCGTGTCCCCTGCCGTCTCCGTGCACCTGGTCTGTGCCGTGTCGGGGGGGGTCCTGCACCCAGGGCACGTGTCTGCCCCGACCTCGTCCTGCACTGGGGGTCAGAGGACGGTGACCTCTGGAGGGAAGGGACGGAGGAGGGGCCGGCAGGGGGCTGAGGGCTGAGTCCCTGTCACTCTCCTGGCTGGCCCGGGGCAGGGACGGGGTGACCACCTTCCCCCTGATGCAGGTGTTGAGGGCCTGTGGCCTGAGGGCTAAGGGCTGCTGGGCCTGGGGTGGGGTCCCAGATATCTGAGGGAGGCCAGAGGGATTGGGGTGAAGGCCTGTCATGCAGCCTCGCTGAGCCAGAATCGGGCCTGCCCAGGAGGGTCTGGGACCCACCTCCGTCAGTGCCATCACCGTCACCTGATGCTGGGTCCCCTACTGTCCCCTGGGGTCCTGAAACTCACCATGTGGGCTCCCAGTCTGTGTAGGACAGGACCTGAGGTGACTACACTGGGTCCTGACCCCCAGGGCTTCTCCGACTGAAATCTAGGTCTGTATGGAGCTGAGGGAGCTCAAGGCCAATGGGGATGTTGAGGTTCCCCCTCATCTCTGTGCTTGAGGACGGAGAGTTGATCCTGGGGCTGGACTGAGGCCTCCCTCCTCATGGATGTTTGCCTGAGGCTGCCCTCCATCCCAGCCACATGGGTGTCCCCACATCGCAGCCCCAACATGGCAGCAGGCTCTTCTCAGCATCGAAGGTCAGGGTGTGAGCGAGACAGAAGTCACACTCCTGGGAGACCTGCTGTCACTGAGTGACGTCCATCACTGTAGCTGAACTCCGCTCCTCAGAGCAAGTCACAGGGCGCGGCCCCCGCTGCAGGGCCAGGGCTCCCACGGCGTGTGGGCGGTGGGGCCTCTGCAGCCACGGAGGAAGCTCCTCCTACACTTGTGCACTTGGCATTGACCCAAATGTGCTCAGTGCTTTCCATCCTTGATGTCATCACACTCATTCTCTCAGCCTCAGGCGGTGAGGATACTTGGGTGAGCAGTTCAGGTCTGTGTTCAAGGGGCCATCCCAGTAAGACCAGGACTCAATTCCAGCCTGGCACCAGGTTCATGCTCTGTCCTGACCCCTGGAGTCAAGGGATCCACTGGGTGGAGTTCATTACCACGATGGGGTCTATGGTTTTCTCCTCGTTCTTAATGAAACATCCTCATACTTTGTGTTTCCAATGCCCGAGGCGCCTTCAGCACTGCAGTCAGGAGCTCTGGGGCCCGTGGATCTGGAGTGGAAGATTCCAGAAACCTAGTTTCCTTGAAGGGGACTCAAGGAGGTTCTGTGGTGTTTCATGTGACCAGACGTCCAGAAGTACCTCCTGAAGCCAAGCTGGAGAAGATTTCTTGGGCCGTTAAAAACGAGTCAAACTACATAGTCCTCCTGCACGTGTCTCCTGGGGTGGATGTTCCAGAATGGGTCAACCCCCAGGACAAGTTCAAGAAGAGGCTCCATGTGCTCAACACAACGACCCTGAGGATTGACAAGCTGACCCTCGAGGACAGTGGGTGGTACCGGGCTCGATGCTCCTTCAGCACAGGGATAGAAAATGCCCAGTATTTCCACCTCAGTGTCTATGGTACGTGGTGGCCCCTCCCCCAGGACAGGCTTACCCCCTGCTTTGGTCCCTGGGAGTGTCCATGGGCCCCTTGCAGGATCCCTTCCAGACCCCAGACTTTAGGCTCTGCTTCTCCCCTGAAATCAGAAGCAGCGTGTTCAGCACGAGTGGAGGCGGGGCTGAGACTCCCAGCAGGGGTGGATCCCTCGGTGCTTCAGGACAGAAAAGGGACACATGGGGAGGTGGGGGTTTGCAGGAACCCTTACTGTGCTCACGGGACACGTGTCCTTAACTGGTGTGGTGGCGGCTCTTGCTTCTGTGACAGATGGACCCATAGGTGTCTTAGCGCAGCCCCACCCGCGTGTGCACCTGTGTGTGGGTCAGGGTCAGACCCGGGGCCACCGTGATGAGGGTCAGGTGTCTGTAGGGCTGTGCTCCTTTCTGGAGGCTCCAGGAGAGGATCCATGTCTTTCCTGTCCCACCTTGTACTGGCGGCCGCATCCCTTGACTGTTGGCTCCTTCCTCCACTTGCCAATATGGTCCTCATGGGCTGACGCTTTCTGGTCCTGCATCCCTCCCCCTCCTCTCCCCCTACGTCCACATGTGAGGACCCTGTGATCCCAACTCTCATGTCTGGGAATCTAGACATTCCCTCGTTGAGGGTCAGCTGGTTCACGGCCTCAGGTCCCCTTTGCCATGGATTCTAAGACACCTGCATGGTGAGTGTTAGCACGTGACCATGTTTGGAACACTGGTCACCAGGCAGAATCCACAACACACATGGGGTCCTCCCTGCCCTGTCCCTCCTCCTTCTCAGCACCAGCCCGAAGCCACCCCCACTCCCAGACTCCCTGGGTGCCTCCGAAACATCCAGGGATGCAGGAGATGTTCAAGGGCCGCCCATCCTCAGAAACGCAGTCAACACCTCTCTCTGTCTCTGTCTCTGACTCCCCCTGTGGAGGGAGACATCCTGCTCCAGGGAGAGCGGCTCCTGCAACCTCAGGTTCATGATGTTCCCAGACGGCCTGTCAGCCTATCTTTACCCCCGTGTGGACGGCAAGTTCATGCATGTTCTAAGTGCCTTTGGGCTGTCCATGCCTCTAGGCCCCACTGCGTCCCCCACAGCGGCATCTCCTGCTGGGAGCCTGGGACGTTCTCTGGGTACCCAGAGCTGCCAGGTGGTGTTCAGTGCCTCGGGCCGTGGGGTCCTGGCCACTATCAGAGCAGGAGGAGGGGGCTGGGGCCAGAACAAGACAGATCCTTCTGTCCCAGACTCTGACTCTGGAGGACACGACACTGTTTTAGAATCTATGGGCTCTGCAGGTGGGGTCGAGTATGTATTTTCTGCTGGGAGATTTTGAGACTTGCTCAGTCTAGTGAAATCCCCTAGGGCTTCACTTAGTGGCTCCTTCCTTCTAGTCACTTGCTGTATATTTGGGTCAAATCTGTCTTATCTGTACATGGACTCACCATCCTTAGGGGAAGGAGCCAGGGCGTCAGTGAGATTCCGCACGAGGAAGCAGGAGTGTGATGCTCTCCACTCACGGGACACCCTGTCCTTTGTCCCTCCTGCCCCAGAGCCCGTGCCCCATCCCCAGGTCCTGGCCGAGATCCTGTCCCTCATACGAGACTGGTGCAACGTCACCCTGGAGTGCCACGCCCTGGAAACCTCAGGGGCCATGAACGTGTCCTGGGAGAGCAAGGGCCTCCCCAGGGAGCTGGAGCAGAGAGGGGCCCCTGGACTGGCCCCCAACCTCTGGACCCTGGCTTTGATTCTGCCCCTGAGCCAGCCCAGCCCCAGGGTCACCTGTGTGGTCAGCAACCCGGTGGACCAGAAAAGTGCCACCCGGGACCTCAGGGAAGTCTGTGGCCACGGTGAGTGTTCCTGCCTGAGGGGAAGGGACTCCTGGGGCTCAGGTCCCCCTGGTGAGGGTTCCGGGTTCTGTCCCCCATATTTATGTCACCACCTGCCCCCTGTCACCCTGTCAAGCAGAATGACATGTGCATCCAACTAGCTTCTGCCTTTCGGTGTCTTATCCTGCTCCTCTGCACCCCTCACCCCTGCTGCCCTAGACAGCCCCCCTGCATACCTTTCCCCTCCCCTATCCCTCCATCCTTCTGTGTCCTGGGAGGTTTTCAGGAAAGCGAGTAGGGGTGAGTCAGTGATGTGTGGCACCTGAGGGAGGCTCCCCAGCCGCTGCCTGCAGGGCTCAGGGCTCGGGGCTCCTGTGCCCGGTTCTGGCCTCAGGGACACACGTCCCCCCACGTGCTCGCCTGGGTTCCCGGATGTGTCCTGCTCTCCTCAGCCCCGGGTTCTGGTCATGCTGCTCCCTCTGCCGCCAGACTTTCCTCCAGAGTCTCCCTTCCCACTCACTCCCGTCCAGGGACCCCTTCTCTGCAGCCGCCCCACGGGGTGTGGCCCTGCAGCCACACAGGGCCGTGCGCTTGATTCACATCCATCACACACTGACCTTGACCAGGACCCTCAGCCCCATTGGCACAGGGCCCTGTGGGAGCTGCCGCTGACCTGCCCTCACGCCTCCCTCCTCTAGGGGGCGCTCAGGGCCCCACCCTGAGAGGTGCTGCTCTGGCCAAGGGTCAGTGTCCTGTGGGGCCTGGACAGCTGGGGGCGGGGCCACGGCTGCTCCTGCTGTGACCTCCTGTCCCACATGGGCCTCGGCCGTTTGCTCCCAGTCAGGGTGTCCCCGAGGGAAGAGTGACCGGGTCCCCTGTGTGCCGCCTCGTCCCCACACCCCACCTCCCCCTGCTGCTGGGGACCTGCTGCATCAGCGTCCCCGAGTCCCCGAGGAGCCCATCCCTCAGCGACCCCCAGACCCTCTGCAAGAGGCTCCTGCCTCCCGCTCATCCTCCTCCCCGGCTCCTCCCTGCCCGGGTCCTCCTCCACCTGCTGCAGGGGTGCTGGCTGCCCCCAGGGCTGGTGATTGGACACGGTGTTCCTGGTCTCGTCCCTCCTTCCTTGGTCCACACCCCCCTGAGCATCTGGTAACCTCCCTCTCCTCCCTCAAGGCTCGGTGCATCCCTCACCTCCCCCGGGAAGCCCTCCCTGAAGGCCTGCGTACCTGCTGTAAACCTCTAGTGCACCGCATGGCCCTGGCGGCTGCCTGTGCGTGTCCCAGCCCCGCCCCCGCTGACGAGCTCCTCCAGCGCGGGGACCCTGCCCTGTTCCTCTCAGCACCCGGCCCCCAGCAGGGCTCAGCACTGGTTGGTGAAAGCACCTGCCATCTTCTTCCTTCTCCAGCTCAGATCAGTTCCCTTAATGGACGTCTGATGTTGTCTCTTGTCTTTTCCTTTTTCACTGTCTTTGTGAGCGGGAAACAGATCCAAACGGACAGCACATTCACCTGCCAAACATCCTGTGGACTGTTGTTCCCATCGTGTTGGCTTCCACGCTGCTCGGATTTGTATTCTGTACATTGGTGAAACGTAACAGGTAGGACTCGGAGCCTGGGAGGGCAGGCGCACTCCTTCCTGTGCCCACCTTCCTGCCTTCCCCTGGGACCCTCTCTCCCTTTCTCCTATATTTTGCTGCTCAGACAATATCCTGGCAGATGTCTGGGGGGTTTGGGCATGACCGTGGGGGTCTGGTGGTTCCTGGCAGATGTCTGGGGGGTTTGGGCATGACCGTGGGGGTCTGGTGGTGGACGAGGGGACATTTTTCAATGCTCAGATTCAAGTTCGATCTGTGTGGGACTCAGGTGCATTATCTGTGGGGAGGCTATTCGACACTGATGGTGGCATTCAGAAAGCAGAAGAGGAGTCTGGAGATGGCAAGGTCAAGATGAGGCCTGGTCTCCCACATCCCTGTGTTCCTGGGTGTTAGTTTGTCAAACCCACTCATCTCCACTTTCTGGCCGCATGTTTATATCCCTTCCAGACATGCAGTATTAACACGGGTCCATGCAGTGCTGGGCGCTGTGGGGGGAGGTCATGTGAGCAGCACTGTACCTTTGGGGGTCCCTCTGGGGCCTTTATTGTCCCTCAGCTGTGGCTGGAACCCTCTGTCCACATTCCAGGGATCGGAGGAACCACATCTAGACCAGGGGAGGCCTCTCAGCACTGTCTACACTGAGGTCCCCACGCCAGGCCAGCTCAGGATGGAGATTTAATTGGAAGAAGAAGGGAATCCAGCCTCTGGAGACATCTTGGATGTGAGTGTGAAGCCTGCAGCCCTGGTCCTGCCCCTCCCCCTCTGACTGCTCTGAGCAGGGACGGATTCAGCCAACATCGGTGAATTTCTACGCAAACTCCTTGTGCACAAGTTCACCAGACAGACAGCATGTTAGATCGAGGCGGGAATGGAGTCTCTGTATTTGCCCAAACCTGTGTCCCAGTTCCGCGCAGCCTCAGCTACTTTGGCCACTGTAAAGGACCGCACTGTCCCCAGGTCTGAACGACCTCCCTCTGCCTGTGAGAACCCGCAGCCTCTGGGACCAAGTCATTATGATCTCACAGCAGGCAGCCTTCGGCAGTTTAACATCACCCAGCTGTCCCACTGTGTGCGCACTCTCTCTCTCTCTCTCTTTCTGTGATGGAGCTTTTTCAATCTTTCCACTCTGGCGTCCACACCACAGGCAGCTGGTGTGTCCAAAATCTGCCCTCTCTCTGCACGACCTCTTCACTGAACCCCAGTCCTACTCCCGTGAACGCCCCCAGCTTCCTTCCTGTCTGCAGACCTGCAGGTCCAGAACCTGCTTCAGTCCTTGGTGCTGCCTCGTCCCCAGAACCACCTGAGGGGCTGACCTGTGGGCACCCCATTCCCAGCATCGGGGAGCCTGGGAGGGTGACTTATCAGCAGCCTCCAGGCAGGGAAGGATGACCTTGAAGAGGAAAGGCTGACGCCCTGAGGACACCCCACCCCCAGCTATGGAATCTCTGGTCCTGGGACATTGGATGCTCTGGACACACAGCACGTTCAGGCTGATCACTGCCCTATTCTTGCCCTCAGGCCAGCAGTGAGTGTGAGCAACTGTCGCTCTGAGCCATTTCCCTGGTCATCTGGGGACTCTCACTGACCTCTACTATTCAGGTCTCGGGGGTGAGGCCAGAGGCCCAGGGAGCCAGGTGGGGTGGGGGCAGGAGAGAGATGGAGCCCCTGAGGGTCATGGGTGGGAGAGACTCAGGCTGAGCGCCACCTGCAGCGCCCTGTCCTGACTGTCCCTGTGGTCAGCTGTCCAGCAGGGAGGTGCAGGGTGTCTGGGCCACCTCTGCCCTCCCAGCAGGTGTGTGTGCCCCAGGGTGCGGCCTGGACCTGCAGTGCTGATAAGGGGGGTGTGGCAGCAACTCCCTCCCCCTCCCTCCTGCACCCCCAGTGTGTCCACAGAGCACGGTAGGAGGGGGCAGGCTTCACATGGGGCTCATCCTGAGGCACCAGGAATTGGGGTGGGAGAGGAAGGTCCCTGGCAGCTGGTCCTTCCTCTGGTTCCTCAGTTTCCCCTCCCTGGGGCTGCTGCATTTGGAGGGGGACACACCTTGTGAGTGGGGGCGGGGCCACGGCATGTTTCCCAGTGTCTCTGTTAGGTTAAGGGCTGCTTCTCACCCCCACTCCTCCCTGCTCTCTGCTTTGCCCACACCCCTCCCTCCTACCCTGTTCCCTGTCTTCCAATGAGCCCCTGGGGACCTACAACAAGGGCTGGCGGACCCCAGAGGGACAGGCAAGGGCACACCAGGGAGCGTGGCCGACTAGCTCACTGTGCACCCTGCTCTTCTAGCCCAGGCTGCCCTGGGGCCGCCCTTCCTCATCACCGCCCTCTCCTCCCTGTTGTCCCTGCACACCAGGCTGGCTGCCCTCAGGGCCTTTCCCAGTGGACAACCAGAGACAGACACGGAGACCCTGACAGAGGCTGCTATGCGCCCTGCCCAGGGGGTGGGCTGCAGTCAGGGCGCTGGGCCAGGGGGTCCCTGAATCTCAGCCTCAGCAGGAGCAGGGCCTGCGGGCGAAGCTGTGCCGGCAGCGCCCCCTGGTGGAAGACGCTGCAGCGGCGGCCGCGCGCAGCCGGGTGTCCCAGCCCCGCCCTCAGGGCCCAGGGAGCAGGTCCCTCCTGGACACCGCAGGGCGGACAGCACAGCCCTCCCTCCGGCCCAGGCCAGGGCAGCTCCGCTCAGAGTCAGGTCTGAGAAAGGAGTTCAGGAGCCCAGTTCTATCCCGGAGCCCGGGGCGTGCCTCCCACCTGTCCCCTGGTGTCTCACCTGCCCAGCAGGTGGTGGGTCACGGGCAGCTCTGAGGCCCTTCTGGCCCCGGGATCCTGGGTCTCTAGGTCAGGGTGGAGCTGATCTGGCTCCCTGACACCTCTCTGATCTCAGTCTCCTCCCTGTCTTCTCTGGGCTCACATAGGCTCTGGGCACCTGACCTCTGGCTCCTGGAACACGACAGGCCACGTCCCACCTGATCCATGACACGGCCATTACCTCCCCCAGGCAGGCAGTTCCCCAGATGTCCAGGGTCACTCCTCACCTCCTGCGGGTCTGTTCTCAGAGGTGTCCTTGGTGACGCCTGCCCTGACCTCCTGGTGTGACCCTGAAGCCACACTCCCAGGTCCTGAGCCTCCCCACCTGCTCTTTTCTCCAGAGCCCCGCTCCCCTTCTGCATGTGTGCACCTTGGAGGGCTTGTCTCCTCTTGGGACAATGAGTGGGCGGAGCCTGTGCTGGGAGCTTTCTAGACATGTCTGTGCACCTGGCCCAGGGGCTGGCACACCGAAGGTGCTCATGAGCAGGTCGTGGTAGGAAGCAGTCCACCGTATGGGAGGTCTGGGTTGAAGCCCACAGTCCCCCCTCAACAGCTCACATCAGTGCATCCATGGGGTCCCGCTGCTGGGACCAGATAGGGCTCAACAGAAAGGAGCAGCTTGTCCAGGAGCTGCCCTGTGGGGAGAGGGGAGGGGCTGGTGGGGAGAACACGGCCCCCCAGGCCGCTGTCACTCAGCGTGTCCACAAAGGGGCACCGGATTTACCTGCATCAGGATTCTCAGTGCCACCCAGGGGGGTGGGTTCTGAGAGACCCTCCTCCACATCAGGGGAGGGACCCGCAGGTCAGAGGAATGTGGGAAATGTGGGGACAGATCCCTCCTGAGATACTCACACTCCCTACTCCCGCAGGGATATCAGTTTATTTATTTACTTTCTTCTAGATGGGTTATTAGAAAGGTGGCCTGTTATTTTATTTTATTTTTTAGAGTTTATATTTTAAGAGACAGAGAGAGCATGAGCAAGGGAGAGACACAGAGAGAGAGAGAATCCCGGCAGGCTCCATGTTCTCAGGGCAGAGCACGATGAGAGACTTGAACCCACAAAATGTGAGCTCATGACCTGAGCCGAAACCAAGAGTTGGACACTTAACTGACTGAGCCACCCAAGCGTCCAAGGAACCAGTTCAGATGCTTTTTTTATTTATTTTTTATTTTTTTTACAAATATTTTTATTTATTTCTAGGAGATAGAGAGAGAGAGACAGCGTGAGCAGGGGAGGGTCAGAGAGAGAGGGAGACACAGACTGAAACAGGCTCCAGGCTCTGAGCTGGCAGTCAGCACAGAGCCCGATGCGGGGCTCGAACCCATGAGCCACGAGATCATGACCTAAGCGAAAGGCAGACGCTTAACCGACTAAGCCACCCAGGTGCCCCCAGATGCTTTTTAAAAAATTTTAAATATTTTTAAAAAATGTATTTTTGAGACAGAGACAGAGCATGAGCAGTAGAGGGTTAGAGAGAGAGGGAGAAACACATTCCGAAACGGGCTTCAGTCTCTGAGCTGTCATCACAGAACCTGATGCTGGGCTTGAACCATCGAACCATGAGATCATGAGCCAAGCTGAAGTCAGACACTCAATCAACTGAGCCACCCAGGTGCCCCACTGTTTAGATACTTTATTAGGATTTCCCAACATATATGACCCTGGGATCCAAGTTCCTTCTTTCTCTTTTGGAGCAAAATCCCTACGGAGCTCCTGCTAATCAGCGTCTGATGCTTGGCCTGCTCTGGGAAACTCCCAGTTACAGGTGGGTCCCTTTGAAGAGCCAAAAATTAAGTCCTCCATTAAGAGCAACCTTGGGCTGCACGTAGCCCCAGTCCCAGTCCCAGGAAAAGCCTCAGACTGTTCAAGGCTAAAGCCATCCTCGGACCACCCTCAGTTCAGCTAATCAAAAAACACTCCTATGGTCTGAGTCAAGGCTGGGAACTGCAGATACAAACTAGCCAATTTCTCACCACTTGCCTGACCCCACGTGGGCCCTTTGACCTCACCTCATTTTTGGTCATTTTCAAAGGATTCTCAAAAGCCATGATTGGGTCCCACCAAAAGTAACGAACACCTCACAGACACTGAATGGTCAAAGCTGTAATTGTAATTGGTGCTTATGTGATGATGCTACACGTACTGTAACAGCCCCATCCCTTACTCCTTAAAAACCCTGTTCGCTATTGTTCTTGGCTTCATCTTGATGAGCCCCTGCTCCAGCTTGTAATAAAGACCCTTTCGTACTTGCATCGGTGTTGGCTCCTTGTTGGTCTCTGGGGACTCGCGATTCGGGCACAACACCTTCTGTCCCTGTGCCGGGGCCTGTGCCTGCTGGGCAGGGGCGAGGCAGATGCTCACTGGGGTAGGTCCGGGTGGCAGGAACTGTCAGCCCTCTCCCGCCGGAGCTGCGGGAACTGGGTGGTCAGAAGCCCGAGGAGCAGAGTCAAGCAGGCAGGGCCTCGAGCTCTGACCTGAGCCTCGAACCCCTTCCAGAGAAGGCGGCTCAGAGCCCAAGGCCTCGTCTGTGGGGCCGCCTGTGGGAGGAGTCGTCTGCTTGATTCAGGTGCGGAGTGTGACCCACGTCGAAGCCTGGTGTCCAGAGAATTGTCCCAAATCCTCCGTAAGGCCTGTGGGAGGAGACCCTTCCTCCATCCAGGAAACATGCATTGTGCACCCACTGCCCATGTGACCTTGTGACACCTGAGGACACATGATGGAAAGGCCGTCCTGGACCTCAGGGGCCCCGATTTCCTATGGAAGCTGCAGACCCCACCCCCAGCTGGACGGGGGCCCAGCCAGGGAGGAGGGGCCATGGTCCTGCTGCCGTGCTGTCCTTCATGCTCAGGTGGCCTGGGACACGGATCCCCCCGCAGTCCCCACCTGCCGGGTGGCCGTGCTGTCCTGTCCTTGACCCCAGCCTGCTCGGCCTGGCTCTGCCTCCCCCCTGTGTGCTCTCCTCACTACTCCCCTCTGTCCTCAGGCCTCGGGCTGAGTGGCTGGTGGCCCAGGACCCGCTGCTGCTGAGGGCTGTGTCACCGTGTCTCCAGGTGCCTGTTGTCAGGGTCCATCCTGTTAGGGCTCAGCCATGTCACCTGCCACCCTCCATGCACGGAGACCCTCTGTCACTGAATCACCTTCCTCCTTTCCACCATGCTGCCTGTATATCTGTCTGTCTGTCTGTCTCTCTCTCTACTGGTAGACATTCTTGCATGAGGGGCTTGTGTTACTTTTTTTTTTTTTTCTAGGAGACAGAAAGAGAGACAGCGTG